TGTGTGTGTGTGTGTGTGAGTGTGTGTGTTTGTGTATATGTACATTTATATTTTATTGTGTATATATATATATATATATATATTCATCTACGCATATTGTAGTTTTGGAAAAAATTGTACATATTATACACACATGTTTACGTATGGCGCGCATTATATTCCCGTGCATATGTGTGCACAAGTAGGTAATGTTCCTGTATATATTATACACACATTGTTTATGTATGGCGCGCATTATTTTCCCGTGCATATGTGTGTACAAGTAGGTTTCCTTACCGATGTGAATTTGGTTTCCTGAAAGTTTGATTTCAGTGTCAATTGCAGCCGAGTTCGTTCCAGAACACCCCGTTTTTCATACACACATCGCTGTTGCTTTTCTTTGGTAGTAGATCGTAGCTAAATACTACTTGTCTGTTCCCCTATGTATTTGCCAGAGACTTGAAGGTGATTCTTCTCGGCTCTAGTGGTGCAGGCAAGACTTCTCTTCTTACCCGATATATGCAAGGCAACTTCACCGATAATCCATCGGTATGTGCCTGCCCGGTTTGTAAATAGTATATACCTTTGTTGGTAGCGACATATCTTTATATCTAGATCGAGGTCGTTTTTATAATTTGCACAAGCAGTAGTTCGCCTGCGTTGCGGTGTATAAGGTGCCTCTAGCGATACTACGTCACGCCGGTATGCGTCTTCTTATGTATATATACACGCCTCATAGTCACGCTTAAAATGAAGGATACATCCAATGACAGTGTTATACGTGTATATGATTAGACATCACAGTGTTTTACTATATGTACAGGCCTGGCTTTCTTTACGCGCTTGCCATAGATATAAGCAACTTATTTACGATCCATTGGTTTGTCACTGTACACATATTTGCGTAAAACATACGTATATCGGCGCTCAATACATACTTGGGAGGCATATATGCATCTATATATTAAATGCTCTGTCAACTGTTGCTGTACCGGCTATATCAGTATTCAATCTGCTTGGGCGTTCGTCTGCAGTTTGAATTACGGCTCATAGGCCCCCACCCTTGCCATTACCCTTGATACATTCCGTCCGGTTTAAAGAAATCTGTTATCGGTGTGTGTATCTATCTAAATCTAAGCCTAGTACCATTGCCTTCTTAAACCCAATCATCAACAGACCATCGGCGCTTCCTTTCAACTGAAAACATGGAAAAACTATAAACTAGGACTCTGGGTATGTGTGGTTTTATGTACACATGGTCACAAGTGTTTATGTGTACGCGCTCGTACGTGTGAGTGAATGTGTACATTCACACCGTTCACACCGCACATAAAAGGTTAATCCGTTTAAGGTGTACGGTGCGTAGTTGTGGCTCGTGGTTTGTATATAACTGGTCGTATGTCTCGATTCGCATCAGTCCTCTCATCACCTCATTTCAGTAGACCGCTCTGAAATAAGTCCTCATTATATGCACTCATGTATCTCACCCAACACCACAGATCACCGGGTAGATATAGATGCAAGAACACACACACACACACACATATATATATATATATATATATTATAATATTTTTATATTATTCTATTATTATATTATATTATATTATTATATTATACTATATATATATATATATATATATATGCGAAGGGCGTCGTACCC